TGCAGTGAGCCAAGATCGCGCCATTGCACTCCAGCCTGGGTAACAAGACTGAAATTCCATCTCAAAAAAAAAAAAAAAAAAGCTGTGTAATGTGTGATTCAACAATTCTAAAAGGGATTCATCTTCACAAAATGATAAAGGCTAGCTGCAAATATTTAATTACAAGGATGCTCATAGTAGAATTTATTATTATTATTATTACTATTTTAAGAAATGGTCTTACTCTGTTGCCCAGGCTGGAGCAAAGTGGTGTAATCAGAGCTCACTGCAGCCTCCTGGGTTTAAGCAATTTTCCCATTTCAGCCTCCTGAGTAGCTGAGACTACAGGTGCTCACCACCACTCCTGGATAATTTTTTTTTTTTTTTAACAGAGGTAGGGTCTTCTCGTTATGTTGCCCAGGCATATTTTCTATTAAGTGCAAGAAACATCTTAGATCAATACAGGATTGCTTAAATTATGTTCACACAATCAAAAACTAGGTAATATTAAAAAATATTATGTAGAAGTGTTTTCATTGATGTGGAAAAAATTCCATGATATATTTGAAAGTGAAAATTAGAAGTTACCTTGTTGCTTAGGTGTCTAGTACAGAAAACAGGTCCAGACTGTGCTCTGAGCCTGGGGAAGATACTTGACCTCACAGCCTCAGTTCTACCAACTGTTATGTGTGGAATTTGTGTTACCCTCAAATTCATATGCTGAAGTCCTAATCCACAGTGCATCGAATGCAATCATATTTGGAGATACGGTTTTTAAAGAGGTAATTAAGTTAAAATAAGGTTATTAGGGGGCCTTATTCCAATATGACTGATATCTTTATGAGAAAAGGAGATTAGAACACAGGGTGTACAGGGGTAAGACCAAGTATGGACACAGGGAGAAGACAGCCGTCTGCAAGCCAAGATGAGAAGCCGCAAAGGAAACCAACCCTGCCAGCAACTTGATCAGAGACGTCTAGACTTCAGAACTTTGAGAAAATAAATGTCTCTTGCTCAAGCCACCCATTCTGTGGTAATTTGTTACAGCAAACTAATACACCGTATAGAAGATGGAGAAAATCTTAATACCATCTTTATTTAGCTCACAAGTTTGCTGTAAGTCAAATAGATATAATCTCTTTGAAAACTGTAAAGTACTATATAAATGTAAATAATGTTATTCACTTGGTCCTTGAAAATCCTGGAGGAATGCAGTCATGTTGTTAAGATTTGAATTTTATATTCCTTTATATAGAATATATACTATACATATAAATATATATATATATATATAGAGAGAGAGAGAGAGAGAGAGTAGGGCAAACAGTATCAAAATAGGGCGTGGGGAGAAGCAAGAGATTTCTTAGGGCTGCAGCAAAAAACACAAATGATTTGTCATTGAAAGAAGAGGCAAAATAAAAGGAATAGTTCTTTACATCCATGCTGCAAATTGTTAAGCAAACAGACACCTAAACTACACATAATAACAATATCTAATATGTATTAAGCATTTACTAAGTACCTAGCATAATCCCAAGTACTTTCAATATGTCTTCTTGGTCGGGCGTGGCGGCTCACGCCTGTAATCCTAGCACTTTGGGAGGCCAAGGCTGGTGGATTGCCTGAGCTCAGGAGTTTGAGACCAGCCTGGGCAACATGATGAAACCCCTATCTCTATTAAAATACAAAAAATTAGCTGGGCATGGCAGCATGCACCTGTAAGTCTCAGTCACTTGGTAGGCTGAGGTAGAATCGCTTGAACCCCGGAGGTGGAGGTTGCAGTGAGCCAAAATTGCACCATTGCACTCCAGCCTGGGTGACAGAGCGAGACTCCATCTCTATAAAAACAAAAAACAAAAAACATGTGTGTGTGTGTGTGTGTGTGTGTGTTTCTCTAACTAAATCTCATATCAACCCTATGGTAAAAGTGCTCTGTGTATGTGTGTAGTAAACTGTATATATATATCTAACATATATATATATATATGTTTATATATATATCATATATATGTTTATATATATCATATATATATATATGTTTATTTATGTGTGTGCCTCTATTTTAGTTTTGTTACACGTATTTTTTTTTTTTTGAGATGGGGTCTCACTATGTTGCCCAGGCTGGAGTACAGTGGTGTAATCTTGGCTCACTGCAGTCTTTGTCTCAAGGGTTCAAGTGATTCTCTCGCGTCAGCCTCCCGAAAGATAGGGTTTTGCCATGTTGGCCAGGCTGGTCTCAAACTCCTGACCTCAAGTGATCCATTCACCTCGACCTCCCAAAGTGCTGGGATTACAGGCATGAACCACCACACCCAGCCTGTTATATGTATCTTTAAAATGAAAATGTGTTCATATGTGTTAGGTAAAAAGAGTAATAAAATTGGCAAAATAAATTGTGATTTTTCCAAGAGATGACTGTGCTTTGCATTACTATGAAACACTGTAAACACTGCTGACTGAATGAAGTGACCTATGGTGAAACACATACCCATGCCACCTTCCTACTCTTGCCCCAGTCCATCCACATTTATTGCCCTAACATCGGGCACACTGTTCTACTGAGTTTGTGTTTATTTTATGATATGCATATTGAATACAGTATCTCAAACCTGAGTAAGCATCCTGCTAATAAGAATCTCAAGTAGTGAATGCCTTAAGTTTTAAGGAGAAAAATAAAATAATAAAATATTTTGAAATACATGAGAGAATTTGCAGGCCTGAAGGAATCCACATTACTCATTTAGATTTAGAGATTTAGAAACAAGGCTAAGAAAGTAAAAGAAAGGAGAGTTCCTGCATCATAATTATCTGCTTTCCATGGAATTGAGAAGGATTTGGAAGAGACTGAAGATAAAGACTCTAATGCTGAATAATTAGTGTAGTTGAGGCTGGGCGTGGTGGTTTACGCCTGTAATCCCAGTGCTTTGGGAGGCTGAGGTGAGTGGCTCACTTGAGGTCAGAAGTTCAAGACCAGCCTAGCCTGATCAACATGATGAAACCCTGTCTGTACTAAAACTATGAAATTTAGCCAGGGATGGTGGCGGGTGCTTGCAATCCCAGCTCCTCAAGAGGCTGAGACAGGAGAGTTGCTTGAACCAGGCAGTGGGAGGTTGCAGTGAACTGAGATCTCCCCACTGCACTCCAGCCTGGGTGACAGAGCAAGACTCTGTCTCAAGAAAAAAAAAAGGGGGAGGAGTCTATCATTTTAACCTAGTAGATTGGCAAAGATTATATTTTTAAAAAGTTTAAAATAATTAGTTCTATAATTTTCCCTTGAGAATTTGTTCAAGGGAAATAACGAGACTAGGGTTCAAAAACATATGTGTAAGAATTTTCACTACAAAACTGTTTATGGGTTTAAAAAATTGAAGTAATTTAATGTAGCAATTGGGGTTTGGTCAAATTAACCAAAGAATATATTAATCAATATATTCCTTCATTTAGCATTTCTGCTGGAATCTATCTCTTGGAATAGTAAATAAAACCAACAGTTCTTAGGCTGCAACTTTTATAACAGCAGTTTGTAGAAGCAAAAAATGGCAAATCCACAGTATGGAGGAGGGAAAAGAAAGAAAACTGCTCATGTCCTGGCGCGGTGCCTCACACCTGTAATCCCAGCACTTTGGGAAGCCGAGGCGGGCGGATCACCTGAGGTCAGGAGTTTGAGACCACCCTGGCCAACATGGCAAAATCTCGTCTCTACTAAAAGTACAAAAATTAGGCGGGTGTGGTGGCATGAGGTTGTAATTCCGGCTACTCGGGAGGTTGAGGCGGGAGAATCACCTGAACCCAGGAGGTTAAGGTCATACCACTGCACTCCAGCCTGGGCAACAGAATGAGACTCCACTCAAAAAAAAAAAAAAAAAAATTGCATATAATGATCATCTTCATGTATTCAGGTAAGATACTGTGTGCACATTCACGAAATAAAAAGACTAAAGGGTGCTTTATGAAATACTATGCAATTGTAAACAAAGCACAAATTTACATTTTTAAAAGATAAAGATATAAGTGAAAAAGATTTCATAACTGTACATATAATGATCCCATTTATGTAAATATATGTATAAGGTTGTCTGAAGATATTTTGGGACCCCAAACACCTTGACAATGACCATTGAAGACCCCATTCCACTATGAACTTCAACCCAAAAGCTGAGTTGGAGTCATTCGGCACAAGATTTGGTTACCAAGATATTTATTTAAATGTGTATTAACTTTGATCTTGTCCTTGAAAACCTCCTAATTCTAGTTACCTTTATCCAAGCGTAAGAGGTTAAAGACCCGCTGGAGATCCAGATGCAAACTGACTGTAAGACATTTGGCGAGTCTCACAGAGCTCGGCTTTGTATTTTCAGACAACCCTTTAATTACAAACGCTTCTGGGCCAATCGGTCTGAAAATGGCCGGGAGTGAGGGGCTGGGGATAAAATGATGAACTGTAGCCGCTGAAGCCCTGTCAGTTGGTGACCCGGTCACCTCGCATCCTCACTGAGCCTTTTTTTTTTCCTTTTTTTCTTTTCTTTTCTTTTTTTTAAGAAGCAGTCTCACAGGCTGCAGTGCAGTGGCGCAATCTCGGCTCACGCCTCACCGGCTCACGCGATTCTCCCGCCTCAGCTTCCGGAATAGCTGAGATTACAGGCACCCACCACCACGCCAGGAGAATTTTTGTATTTTTAGTAGAGACGAGGTTTCACCATGTTGGCCAGGTTGGTCTCGACCTCCTGACCTCAGTTGATCTGCCGGCCTCAGCCTTCCAAAGTGCAGTATTACAGGCGTGAGACACAGTTGGCAGCCACTTCGGCTTTTCTAAAACTCGGCCCCTAAGCACTTAGCCCAGAGAGCGCGGAGCATCTGGCTATGACTTCCAGCCAATAGCTACACTTCTTTTCTCAGCCTTGCAACTACAAACCAATAGGTAGATGGCTTTCTTTTTATGTCACGTTCTTTTTCAACCAATCAGAAACGTTTTTCAAACGTTTGCCCGCCCCCCTTATGGGCTCGGGCTCCTGGAAAGCTGAGTTCACTTCCGGGCCGCGGTCTAGGGCAGCTACGTGTGTTGTCATAGCGACCATTTTGCGTTAACTGGTTGGTAGCTTCTAGCCTGGGGGATGAGCGACTGCGCGCCAGCGCTTCCCCTACTCCCTCTCGGCTCCCTGTCTCCCCAAGGCCTAAGCGGGCTCCGGCGGTCTGGCCTAGGGATCCCCGTGGCCGCTTTGGGGAGAGATGGCTACGGAAGAAGAGGACGAGGTGGAGTGGGTGGTGGAGAGCATCGCAGGGTTCCTGCGAGGCCCAGATTGGTCCATCCCCATCTTGGACTTTGTGGAGCAGAAATGTGAAGGTAAAAACCAGAGCCCAAACCGACAATCCTTTTCTCCTCTCTCACACCAGCGGCGGGCAGGGGGCTGGTAACCACAAATCATTTTTATCTCCCCCCAGCCCCACCCCTCTCACCAGGTTTAGAGTTGGTTACGTGGGAGGAGTTCCTTTCGCCCTGTCAATTTGTTCCTTCCCAGACCTGAACCTGGGGACCGCGACTCCCCTTCCCCGAGGCCCAAGCACACGTCAGAAGAATGTTAGACTTTAATCGTAAATTAGGTCTCTTACTTTGTCCCGCACGTTTCTGCCCTGGGCAAGTGGACTGTTTGGCTGGGCTTCTTCAACAGATTCCCAGACTTGAGAGGAGAAGCGTCGGTTTACGCGAGTTACTTATGATCCCTAGCGTTTCGCCCTGTGTAGTCAGCTTAAGAAATGAGAAATGATTCACTTCAAACCAACAGTTGACTGCAAAGGAGGGTGTGTGATAACTCCTGGAAGCCCACAGCCGGTGATTTTGGTGGCCTGCATTCCCCTTGGAGAGCTCTCTACTTTTAGCTATACCAAAAATTTGCCGGGTGGGGCCGGGGAACCATTCTTGGAACAAATGAGGCATATAGATGTGGTATAATATTCCCTGTGAGTGACAGGCACCTCCGGGTTCTGAGCAGTTCACGCTTCGAGTTCTGCATTCAGTTCGTGGAGACAATTTGCAGTCCATTCGCAGAAAAGGAACCAGAAATAACGTCATATAAATGAGTGCCTAAGTGTTACTGTGGTTGTTTAGTCGGGCAAGACTTTGAGGGTAGTAGTATTCATCAATTACTGAAACATCTGTTTTGTAGCGTAAGGTTCAGTGGAATAGAGTTGGTTCAGTGGTCAGTTGGTACACGCTAAGGGGAAACAAATATCAGTGAAGGAAGTGCTTCATGACAGAATGTATCCAAGATGAGTTAGCCAGCCTCAGAAGGTAATGAGCTTCCTGGCTCCAGCAGTGTTTGAATGGATCTGACAGCGACTTAATAGGGTTAGAGGGATTCAGTTATTCAGCTATCAAATGGTCGGTTATCCTGGATGACCTTTTAAGACTTTAAATTCCGAGATATCATTAATCTGGTAAAGATGAAATTCAGTTTGACCACTGAATCTTTTCATTACATTTTCATTGCTATAATCAAAACTCAAATCATAGTTATTGAAATGTTGTTTTTACAGGTAATTTTTTTAGCAGTGTTCAAAAACAGGATAACTTCTATTTGTACTCCTTTTTTTGTTTGTTTTTGAGACCGTGTCTCACTCTGTCGCCCAGGCTGGAGTGCAGTGGCACTATCTTGGCTCCCTGCAGCTTCTGCCTCCCGGGTTCAGGGTTCAAGCGATTCTCCTGCCCCAGCCTCCCTGGTAGTTGGGATTACAGGAGCGCGCCGACACACCTGGCTAATTTTTGTATTTTTAGTAGAGATGCAGTTTCGCTCTATTCGCCAGACTGGTCTAGAACTCCTAACCTCAAGTGATCCACCTGCCTCGGCCTCCCAAAGAGCTGGGATTACAGGCATGAGCCACCGTGTCTGGCCTGTACCCACCCCTTTTTATTTTGAGACGGAGTCTCGCTCTGTCGCTAGGCTGGAGTGCAGTGGCGTGATGTCAGCTCACTGCAACCTCCGCCTCCGGGGTTCAAGTGAGTCTCCTGCCTCAGCCTCTCAAGTAGCTGGGACTACAGGCGCACACCACCACACCCAGCTAATTTTTGTATTTTTAGTAGAGATGGGGTTTCACCATGTTGGCCAGGATGGTCTCCATCTCTTGACCTCGTTAACTGCCCACCTCGGCCTCCGAAAATTCTGGTGTACTCCTTTTAATAAGTTGAAATGTGGCAGGATGGCTCACGCCTGTTATTGGAGCACTTTGGGAGGCTGAGGTAGGCAGATCACTTGAAGTCAGGAGTTTGGGACCAGCCTGGCCTACATGATGAAACACTGTCTCTACTAAAAATACAAAAAGCTGTGTGGTGGTGCGAGCCTGTAGTCCCAGCTACTTGGGAGACTGAGGCAGAAGACTCATTTGAACCCGGGATGCAGCGGTTGCAGTGAGCCTAGTTCTTGCCACTACACTCCAGCCTGGACAACAAAGCGAGACTCTATCTCAAAAAAAAAAAAAAAAAAAAAAAAAAAATTAGCTGAGCATGGTGGTGTGCATCTGTAATCCTAGCTACTCCAAGAGGCTGAGGCAGGAGAATCACCTGAATCCAGGAGGTTGCAGTGAGCCGAGATCATACCACTGTACTGTAGCCTGGGCAACAGAGCAAGACACTGTCTGGGAAAAAAAAAAAAAAAGTTGCCATGTTATTAACAGGGCTGGGTCACTTGCACCTGTATGCCCAGCAACTCAGGAGGCTGAGATGGATCACTTGAGTCCAGGAGTTTGAGGCTGCAGTGAATGATGATCATGCCACTGCACTGCAGCATGGGCGACTGAGACCCATTTCTTTAAAAAAAAAAAAAAAAAAGACTGGGCACGGTGTCTCATGCTTGTAATCCCTGTACTGTGGGAGGCCAAAGTGGGTGGATCATGAGGTCAGGAGTTCGACACCAGCCTGACCAACATGGTGAAACCCCGTCTCTACTAAAAATACAAAAATTAGCTGAGTGTGGTGGCATGTGCCTATAATCCCAGCTACTCAGGAGGCTGAGGCAGGAGAATTTCTTGAACCTGGGAGGTGGAGGTTGCAGTGAACTGAGATCACGCCACTGCACTCTAGCCTGGGCAACAAAGTGAGACTCCGTCTCAAAAAAAACCCCCAAAACTGAAAATGCTATTGTGAGACTGATAAGGCATGTGGAATTTGACCTCATTTAGAAGAAGAAATTATGTCACCCTTTGATTCCATTTACCTCACTGAGACCAAACGCTGAAATGGAAAAAAATTAAATCGTCCATCTTTTTATCCCTAAATGTCAAAAGTGGATGTATCTCAGTCCTAACATACCTGATTGTATAATTTTGCAGAGAAGCAGTAATCTACAGCCTTATGAACATGTACAGTGGTGATTTGGTTTCAGAATTAGCTGCTGTATTAAGAACCCACTGTATTGCTTATATGTGCAGTGTTACGTAGAGCAGATGCCAGGATAAACAGAAGTGACATGCCAGTGACACTTGAAATAATTGTTTATAGTTCATTGTCTCGGGGTTGCCTGTATGCTGTTCTCTAACTCAGATTTAAAGATTAGTTTTTATTTATTTATTTATTTATTTAAATTTTTAAAGATGGAGTTTCCCCTTGATGGCCAGGCTGGTCCTGAACTCCTGACCTCAGGTGATCCACCCACCTTGGCCTCCCAAAGTGCTGGGATTACAGGCGTGAGCCACCGCGCCCAGCCTAAAGATTAGTTTTATGCAGCCTTGTGACATTAACTTTTATTTCAACAAACATTTATTGAAAGTGTCGTTTGGCTAAGCTGAGGCTAGAAGGATGAATGCAACAGAATCCTGTCCTTGAGAAGTTTATAGTGTAGTGGGGAAGACAAGCAGGTAAACAGGATAAAATACAAAGTGGCAGGTGCTATAATAAGGGTAGGTACATGGTGCTGCACAGTATGAATTCAGAGGAAGGGATCTAGCCAGGCTAGGGGATGGGAGTGAGTAGCAGGTCACGGAGAATATGCCACGTGGTAATATTCTTAAGAATGATTGGGAGAGAGAGGGGATGGGGGTAAAGTAAATGCAAAAAGGAAGAAGGAACAGCTTGAGCAAAGGCATGGCAATTTGAAGTGGTGTATATTGTATCTGGCGATGTTTCAAGTAGTTGTGTGTTGTTAGGAGTGTAAGGTTTGAGTTTCCAAGTTGGGGGAAATGAGATGAAATCTAATTGTGGAGGGTCTTGTCTGGCCTTCTAAGGATTTTGCACTTTTTCTCTAGGCAATGAGCACTTGCTGAAGAGTTTAAACTGAAAATTGCAGAAGTTAGTTTTGCATTTTAGAAAGATCAGCCGGAAAGAATTTTAAAAATATTTATTGTTTACAATTCCCAAGTTTGTCCTGTTTCCCTGATTAGATTATAGCTTCTTGAGAAAATATTTATTTTTCTAATCTACATCGTTTTATACATATGATCATTCAGTAAACACTTGTTTTGATTTTATTTAACTTGATTATTTATCTATAGTAACAAAAATGGCCTGGTCACTTTGAGTAACATTTACATCGGCAAAATTCCAGTACAGTAAAATAATTTGGAGCCTATTGTAAAAGGACTTAACCATTAACAAGAATATTCCATTGAAAGTTATGAAGAAATTATTTCCTCATATTGATTGAAATATGTTTTTGGTCTTAAATATGAGATAGTGTTCATTTTATTTTCTTAAGCAGGCAAAAAAGCTTGTTTACAATTAATAATATATATATGCACATATATATACAATTGACAGTATATATATTTTTATATATATATAAATAAATATATATATATGTGTCTATATGTATATTTTTTATTTTGTTTTGTTTTGGAGACAGAATCTCACTCTGTCGCCCAGGCTGGAGTGCAATGGCTCGATCTCAGCTCACTGCAACCTCCAACTCCCGGGTTTGAGAATTCTCCTGCCTCAGCCTCCCAGGTAGCCAGGACTACAGGCGCCTGCCACCATGCCTAGCTAATTTTTGTATTTTTAGTAGAGACAGGATTTCACCACGTTGGCCAAGCTGGTCTTGAACTCCTGATCTCAGGTGATCCGCCTGCCTCAGCCTCCCAAAGTGCTGAGATTACAGGTGGGAGCCACTGCGCCTGGCCAATAGTATATATTTTCAGATATATTCATTTATATATTTAAAAAAGATAATCCCTAAGAATTCAAAGCTGAAGAGCTAGGCTATAGGAATGACAGACAGTTCTATCTGTGAGGAGTGGATTTTGTATTTGCAGTAATAAAATGATTTTTTTACACTATGTAATATTTTCTTTTAAATTTAGTTTTTGATGATGAAGAAGAAAGCAAATTGACCTACACAGAGATTCATCAGGAATACAAAGAACTAGTGAGTATTTTTTTTCACTGATTTTTAAAGGTAATTAGGCTAATGTTACAGCTTTTCTAAATGAAGAAAATTGTTTTTTCATTAAAAATCCTGAATTTTACAAAAATCCAGTCTACCTTAACAATAGTACCTGTTATACATGTCTCCACAGGTTCTCTGAGCATCTCATTTTAATAACTTCTTATTTCCTCTGCTCTTAAATCTAAAGAATGGTTTTACAGCTCTTTATGGGTTCTTGCATGTATTCTTTATATTTTATTCTTATTTTGTTGATGCATCCAGGGACAGATTAGTTACTTAGTCATGGTTGTCTTGTGATTTTTTTATTTTTGAGACAGGGTCTTGCTTTGTCACCCAGGCTGGAGTGCAGTGGCACTAAAATAGCTCATTGCAGCCTCAGCTTCCCTGGCTCAAGCAATCCTCCCATCTCAGTCTCCTGAGTAACTGGGACCACATGCGTGCACCACCATGCCCTGCTAATTTTTTTGTGTTTTGTAGAGATGGGGTTTTACCATGTTTCCCAGGCTAGTGTCAAACTCCTGAGCTAAAGCAATCCGCCTGCCTGGGCCTCACAAAGTGTTGGGATTACAGGTGTGAGCCACCGTGCCTGGCCTGTCCTATAATTTTTAAAAATGCCTCTGGCAGTGAGGCGCAGTGGCTCACACTTCTAATCCCAGCACTTAGGGAGGCTGAGGCACATAGATTGATTGAGCCAAGGAGTTCGAGACCAGCCCAGGCAACATGATGAAACTCCATCTCTATAAAAATTACAAAAATTAATCAGTCATGATGGCATGCGCCTCTAGTCTTAGCTGCAGAGAAGCTGAGGTGGGAGGATAGATCTCTTGAGCTCAGAAGGTCAAGGCTGCAGTGAGCCATTACTGTGCCACTGTACTCCAGTTTGGGCAACAGAGTAAGACCCTGTCTCAAAAAAAAAAAAAAAAAAAGAAAGAAAAGAAGGCCAGGTGTGGTGGCTTATGCCTATAATCCCAGCACTTTGGGAAGCTGGGGTGGGCAGATCACCTGAGGTCAGGAATTAGAGACCAGCGTGGCCAACATGGCAAAACCCTGTCTCTACTAAAAAAAAATACAAAAATTAGCGGGCATTGTGATAGGCACCTGTAATCACAGCTACTCAGGAGGCTGAGGCAGGAGAATCACTTGAGCCTGGGAGGCAGAGGTTACAGTGAGCCAAGATTGCACCACTACACTCCAGCCTGGGTAACAGAGTGAGACTCCATCTCAAAAAAGAAAGGAAAGAAAAGAAGAAAAAAAAAATGCCTCTGGTTAGCAGAACAGTTGTGCCACACTGAACTTCATAATCCTGACTTTAACTATTTCTATTAGAAGAAATACAGTTTCATGTGATTTTCTGCAAAAATACTAACTTTTAATTTGTGTTTTGGTGGAAGACAATGTCACTGCCATGTAATATAATATTATGTAGATTAATATTTGCAAAAAATTTGATTATACTTTTCTAAACTCAATACTTAATATGTAAACTGTCATGTAGAACTTTTCTATGTAATTATAACAGTGAAACTTTGTCTTTTTAGGTTGAAAAGCTGTTAGAAAGTTACCTCAAAGAAATTGGAATTAATGAAGATCAATTTCAAGAAGCATGCACTTCTCCTCTTGCAAAGACCCATACATCACAGGTTTTTGCTTTGTATTATTCTGCTAACATACAGTTTTAACAAAAATGCTCAGGGTTTCACTTAAATTTGAATGTTTGATTGACAAGTAATATTTTAGACATTGTGGGAAGTGGAAAGATAATTCATCATATATGAGTTCTTTTTGAGAGCAACCTTGAAATATGATAATTTGAGGCATAAATGAACTGATGCAATTCAAAGTGACCTTTCTAAACTCAGAACTAGAATAAGATCACAGGGATTATACAAACTACTGTTTTATTTACATAGATCTCTGATAATTCTGTAGTTGTTCCTTTTATAATTTTAGCAGATCCACAGTCAGTAGTTCCTGCAGCTTCCTTCTCTTAGAACTACTTTTATTATCTTACTGGTTGTGTAGTGCTAGGCTGAAGTAGTGATACATATGTTTATAAACTGTTTTTGTTGTTATTTTTGAGATGGAGTCTCACTCTGTTGCTCAGGCTGAAGTGTAGTGGTACGATTGCAGCTCAATGTAGCCTCAACCTCCTGGGCTCAGGTAATCCTCCCACTTCAGCCTCCCTAGTAGCTGGGACCGCAGGTGCTGCACTAGCACACCTGGCTAATATTTGTATTCTTTTTAGAGACAGGGTCTTGCTGCGTTTCCCAGGCTGGTCTTGAACTCTGGGCTCAAGCGATTTGCCCACTTTGGCCTCCCAAAGTACTAGGATTACAGGCATGAGCCACTACATGCAGCCTATAAACTAATATCTATTGAGGGCTTATGCTAGTTGATATTTTAGGCACTTGACATGTTTTATCTCATTTAATCTTTCTAACACTCTTATGAAACTGGTACTATATAACTTCCATTGAGAAATGAGGAAATCAAAGCACAGAGATATTAAGCTAATAGTCCAAAGTCCACAGCTAAATAAGTAGTAGAGCCAGTATCCCCAGCCAAGGCAAGCCAACTGAGTGCCCTTGCTCAGAGGGTGAGGACTGGGATATGTTACTAGTACCCAAGTAGCCTTCTGCTCAAAAACTAAAGGCCAGGCAGTGACTCATGCCTATAATCCCAGCACTTTGGGAGGCCAAGGCAGGAGGATTGCTTGAGCCCAGGGGTTTGAAACCAGCCTGGGCAACATAGTGAGACCCCAACTCTAAAAATAGTACAAATGTTAGACGGTTATGGTGGTGTTCTCCCATAGTCCCCTTACTCAGGAGGCTGAGGCAGGAGCATCACTTGAGCCCAGGAGGTTGACGCTGCAGTAAGACATGATGGTGCCACTGCTCTCCAGCCTGGACAACAGATTGAGACCCATCCCCGAAAAACAAAACACTGGCTTTGGCATCTCATCTTCTACCAAATAAACTGTAATTTCTTAGCTAGCAAGATATGATAAGAATTGTTTAAGATGAGACTCCAGATTATAATGTTAGCCATGATTTCTTGCTATAGTTCCCCAGTGTATTATGTTCTACTGCCATTCCAGGTCACTTGCTCTTATGAGCATCTGTGCACCTAGCTTTGCTCATGCTGTCTCTTAACTGGGAATCTGTGGTCCCCTCCTCAGACTACTCCATCATTCCTTTCATCACGTGGAGAAATCCTCCTCATCAGGACCTGGTTGAATTGCTACTTGTTACAGCAGCTTTGCTGTTTATTCTAATCAGAACAGAATTCATTCCCCTTAACTAGGCCAATTTTAAATTGATATTTTTGTTATTCTGCCTTGAATTATGGTTTCCTACAAGTCTATTTGCCCTACTAGATTGTAAGTCCTTTGAGCTGTTTTTAGTATCTTTGTACTCCCTGCTGGTAGAACAGAGATGAAAACTTAGTTTCTGGTACGTAGTTCTCAATAAATGTTTATTAATTTAAATTATCTTGTTATTATCACCTAGAAGATGTTGCCTTGACTACTTTTTAACCCAGCATTTCCTCTTTTGTACAACTTTTCATTTGATGATCACCTTTAATTTTAGGAATAGAAAATCTTTTTGTTTTTGTTTTTGAGACAAGGGCTTGCTCTACTGCCCTGGCTGGACTGCAGTCGTGTAAACATAGCTCTCTGCAACCTCTAACTCCTAGGTTCAAGTGAATCTCCTGCCTCAGCCTCCTGAGTAGCTAGTACTATAGGTGTGCACCATTATACCTGGCTAATTTTTCAGTTTTTTTTGTAGAAAGGGGGTTGTGCTGTGTTGCCCAGGCTGGTCTTGAGCTCCTGGCATCAAGCAATCCTCCTGCCTCGGCCTCCCAAAGCTCTGAGATTACAGGTATGAGCCACTATATTTTGGCTGGGTGTGATAGCTCATACCTGTAATCCCAGTGCTTTGGGAGACCAAGGCAGGAGGAATGCTTTAGGCCAGGGGCTCAATACCAGCCTAGGCTACAAAGCAAGACCCCATCTCTACAAAAAATACAAATACAAGAATTAGCTGGGCGTGGTGACACGCTCCTGTAGTCCTAGCTACTTGAGAGGCTGAGGTGGGAGGATTGCTTGAGCCCAAGAATTTGAGGCTTGCAGTGAGCTATGACTGTACCACTGTACTCCAACCTGGGCTGCAAAGTGAGACCCTGTCTCTAAAAAAAATAAAATAAAATAATTTAGATGTTCTTGGTATGCCCACAGTATGTGAAAAAAATCTGGCAATTTCCAAGAAGACATAACAATCCTTAATGTGTATGTACCTAATAACAAAGCAACAAAATGTGTAAGGCAGAAACGGAACTGCAAGGAGAAATAGATTAATACATGATTATAGTTGGAGACTTTAGCACCCTCTGTCAGTTTTGGACAGAACCAGTAGTTAGGAAATCAATAAAGACATAGTTGAACTAAACAGCACCTTCAGGCCAGGCATGGTGGTGGTTCATGCCTATAATCCTAGAACTTTGGGAGTCTGAGATGGGTGGATCACTTGAGGTCAGGAATTCGAGATCAGCCTGGCCAACATGGTGAAACCTTGTCTCTACTAAAAATACAAAAATTAGCCTGGCTTGGTGGTAGGCGCTTGTAATCCCAGCTATTCAGGAGGCTGAGGCAGAATTGCTTGAACCTGGGAGGTGGAGGCTGCAGTGAGCCGAAATTGCACTACTGCACTCTGGCCTGGGCGAAAGAGCAAGACTCTGTCTCTAAATAAATAAATAAATAAACAAACAGCAGCTTCAGTCAGCTGAATTTAATGGAGATTTATACACCACTTCATCCAACAACCAAAAATACACATTCTTCTCAAGATCACACAGAATAGTCAAGACAGATTACATTATGGGCCATAAAAGATATCTCAACAAATTTAAAATGGAAATCATACAGTGTCTGCTTTCAGACCACAACCTAATTAAATAACAAAAGATAGTTGGGAAAAGCCAAAATACTTGGAGATTAAACAACACACTCTAAGAAACACATGTGGGCCAGGCATGGTGACTCATGCCTATAATCCCAAGCACTTTGGGAGGCTAAGGTGGGCAGATTGCTTGAGCCTTGGAGTTTGAGACCAGCCTTGGCAACATGGTGAAACTACGTCTCTACAAAATACAAAAAAATTAGCAGGGCATGGTGGTATATACCTTCCACCATATTGGCCAGGCTGGTCTCAAACTGCTGACCTTAAGTGATCCACCCACCTCGGCCTCCCAAAGTGCTAGGATTACAGGCATGAGCCACCGTGACTGGCCACAATTTTTGTTTTATAGAATTATAAGGAATTATATAATTACACTATATATAAAATATATAATCATAGAATAATCATAAAGTATTATATGTTATAGAATTATAAACAAATGTCCCTCTTTATTCCTGATCATCTTTCTTGTTCTGAGGTCTACTTTATCTGAAATTAAATTAAGCTATTTCAGCTTTCTATTTAAACAACTTTATTGAGATATAATTTGCATACCATAATATTAATCCTTCTGAAAACTTTTTTTTTTTTTTTGAGTTGGAGTTTTGCTCCACCACCCAGGCTGAAATGCAGAGGTGTGATCTTGGCTCACTGCAACGTCTGTCTCCTGGTTCAAGTGATTCTCCCATCTTAGCCTCCTGAAAAGCTGGGACTACAGGAGCATGCCACCACACCTAGCTAATTTTTGTATTTTTTTAGTAGAGACAGGGTTTCACCATGTTGACCAGGCTAATCTTGAACTCCTGACCTCAAGTGATCTGCCCACCTCAGCCTCCCAAAGTGTTGGGATTACAGACGTGAGCCAATGTGCCCAGTTGAGAACCCTGTTTTTAAAGTAAAAATTTTAAATTGTCGTTTTGAGACATCTAGATACATAATAAGGTAGCATTTTTGAATTAATCTATGGTTTTGCAGTGGAAATAATTTGAATGTGTGGGAAATAATTTTAAAATTTGAATCTTCATTTCACTTGAGACTTCTTTCCACAGGCCATTTTGCAACCTGTGTTGGCAGCAGAAGATTTTACTATCTTTAAAGCAATGATGGTCCAGAAAAACATTGAAATGCAGCTGCAAGCCATTCGCATAATTCAAGAGAGAAATGGTAAAATATTGAAGTTAGAAATCTAAGTGCTAAGTGTATTTTTGTTTACAGTTTTGACTATTCTAATTTTAGTTACCTTGTGTACATTTATTTCAAGTTTGAAAGACTTTAGCTGACTTGACATTTAAGAGTAAACTTCTTGATCTGTATTTGACATCTCGAAAAAAAGGAGACCAGAATTCGATGATACTTTGGATTTCACAGAGTTCGATTTTCTGCCCAGCCATTATGTTTATGAAATTAAGTATTTTTGCTGGGCACGGTGGCTCAAGCCTGTAATCCCAGCACTTTGGGAGGCCGAGGTGGGTGGATCACAAGGTCGAGAGATCGAGACCAACCTGGTCAACATGGTGAAACCCCGTCTCTACTAAAAATACAAAAAATTAGCTGGGCATGGTGGCGCGTGTCTATAATCCCAGCTACTCAGGAGGCTGCGGCAGGAGAATTGCCTGAACCCAGGAGGCGGAGGTTGCAGTGAGCCGAGATCGCACCATTGCACTCCAGCCTGGGTAACAAGAGCGAAACTCCGTCTCAAAAAAAAAAAAAAAAAAAAAAGAAAAGAAATTAAGTATTTTTAAGTGGTCATAGTGGTAGTTACTGTTGAGAGGTGTTCATCCTTCTTCTGGCTTATGATTGTTAGGACCTGTGTAGGAAGCAGTGGTTCTTAAGCCTTAGCAAGCATTGGAACTGGTTGGAGGGCTTGCTGAAGCACATGTGGCTGCCTCCCAGTTTCTGATTTAATAGGTCTAGGTATTGATAATTTGCATTTTTAACAGTGATATGGTTTGGCTGTGTCCTCACCCAGATCTCATCCTGAATTCCCATGTGTTGTGGGAGGAACCCAGTGGGAGATAATTGAATCCTGGGGGCAGGTCTTTCCCATGCTGTTCTCCTTATAGTGAATAAGTCTTACCAGATCTGATGGTTTTGAAAAGTGGGAGTCTTCCTGCACAAGCTCTCTTTGCCTGCTGCCATCCATGTAAGAGGTGATTGCTCCTCCTTGCCTTCTATCATGATTGTCAGGCTTCCCCAGCCATGTGCAAATGTAAGTCTGGTTAAACCTATTTGCTGTGTAAATTGCCCAGTCATGAATATATCTTTATCAGCAGCATGAAAACAGAGTAACACAAACAAGTTCCTAGGTGATGCTGAAGCTGCTGGTTCTGGGACCATACCAACATCTACTGTTCTAGGGCACTGGGCAGAGGCAGATATGCTTGTACCAGCATCATGTGGAAGAGAAAAGTGGAACTCAAAGCCCTGTTGACCCTCATTGGCTTTATCTTTCCCCGACTCTGTGTCAAGCTCACTTTCTCTCTAGCTCTTCCTGCTCTTGTTCCCTTCTTGTGTGCCTGAACTACATTTAACATCCTGACTAAAAACAGCTGAGTTTCTAATCATGCTGCTTGTTATTGTACCCATGTTATCATCTCTTTCTAACCCATATTATAATTTCTGTTTCACATTTCTTGCTGTGGTAACCTCACCTTAATTTCTATGTCTTCCTTAGCTCAGTAGATGGCCATAATATTTTTTACCATGGCCCATAATCTCTTTAACAGTTTGGCAGCAGGACCTTTCCTTTGACTGTTTCTTGAAGATGTGAGATCTATAGTTCAGTTGCATCGTTTGCCTTTAAGGGCCTGGAACATGAAACAATAGGGCTTCTGTTGTTGCATGGCAAACATGAGAATTTTGCAGAGCTCTTGTTGGGGAGTTTACTTCTCACTTGACTGATGTGAGTAGAGACTCTTAGAGCCAGCCACCATCATATTCGTCTGCAGGACTCCCAAGATGCTTTCCTCAGTAGCTAATAGAACTGTTGTCTGTGGGTAGGGGGAGAACACCACCCTAGCCCTGAAGAATGCATCACAGTGCTATCACTTCCATGTAAATAAGTTTGGAAAATAGTCTGTGTCTTTCTACTGTGGTTTGCTCTATAAAATCCTTTCCTCTGAATTTTCCTGAAAACTATGCTTCATTCTGACTTGTGGGTTAGAGAATTTTAATAAGTGTTAGTAAAAAAACTTTCTTAGGGGATCAGGAGAAGACATAGTGAACTTGACATTGGCATTTTGCAGTTTTCAGTTTGGAATTTAATTGGAAACTCATTCAGGTTTTAATAAAAAGGGAATAAATACACATCTTGTATCATGTGGATGCCTCAGGCTGTCAGTAACAGAACACCCCAATGAAAAAAACATCTCCCAGAACAAGAAGTCCAGAGGAAGGGAGAGAAGGAAGGCAGGTTCAGAGTTGGTTAACACAGTGGCTCAGTGATGTAATCAAGGATCCTGACACTTTGCATCTTTATACTGTGCCATTCTCAGTATCTTCTCTCATGATTATGCTTTGGCTAGACTGAGTGCAGACTCAACAATGTCTTATGAAGAAATGGAATAGTACATCCTTCTGTATATCTCTTTTTGTTAGCAAGACAACAATTTCATGGAAGCTTTCCAGTTTTCCCCTCAAGTCCTATTGATTAGGATTCAGGTCACTTGCCTTTCTTAAACCATCTGGCAAGGGGAATGAGACCATTATGATTGGCTTGAACCAATTAGGGGTCACTGTCCTGGGATAGGGGAGGGCCCTGCCTCTAAGTACTTAGCTGCCTGATAATTCTGCAGAAGCTGGCTTCTATTAGCCAGAGAGGAGAAGGGGAATGATGTAGAATAATGACTATTGTCAGACCACAGCCTGGGGCATTTTACTTACATTTAAACATAAACTAATAACTTAGTTTCTGCTATAGACTTTCTAATACATGTATTTAAGAATTTGCTGGCCAGGCACAGTGGCTCATGCCTGTGGCCCCAGTGCTTTCAGAGGCTGAGGCAGGAGGATTGCCTGAGCTCAGAAGTTCGAGGTGGCAGTGAGCTATGACAGCCCCACTGCATGCTGGCCTGGTCAATAGAGTAAGAGCCTGTCTCAAAACTAAAAAAATAAAAGAAAGATTGTTGCCTAACTGAGATCCAGGGGTGAGTACCTTAATGTCGATTATACTCAAAACTACAGACTATTTGAAAATAGTCCTAATGATGAGAAAAAAAATCAAAGGCTCTCTGGATTCTTGGTTGTATCTTATTAAATAATTTGGAGAAAATGCAAATGAGAGTATTATTTTGATGTTTTTTAAGTACTTTATACTGTTGTGTTATTCTTAGTACTTTCAGTTTCCTTAGAAAGATGATTAGAATAATAAGTTTGTATCTTTTGACTGAGCAAAAATGCACTTAAGATTGATGGATTATTCATATGTCAATTTTCTGGTTGTGATATTGTACTACTTTAGTTTTGTAAGATGTTATCACTTGGGGAAACTGGGTAAAGAGTACATAGCAGCTTTCTGCATTATTTTTTAAAATTGCACTTACCCCAGAAGAAAACATTTAACTTTTAAAAATGTATTTAAACATGAGGGGGATTAGAGTAATAAAGCTATTTTAGAGTGGATCCAAAATCCCACAGTCATATGTGGATAAAGAAATGGAAGGTAAAAATTAAACAGCATTCTGCTAATGTTGTGGAATGTAATGATTATAGATACAAACAGAACAATTATTACCAATCCACCTGCTTTGCAGGAAGACAAGATAATAAAGTAAATTAAACCAATATTTTAAGTTACTTTTTATTTTCTTGGGCTGAAGCTGCTACTTCCCTGGTTTATAATTATTAGACCAATATCTGAACAGAAGCTTCAAGGGCAGAGATCATTTTATTCATCTTTGTAGCCCCTCAAAGTGCTTAGCACCATGCTTTTATTGCACATAGTAAGCAGGGCCCTTTTCAATAGCATCTGTTAAAATATGAATGAAGAGTTTTAATGTTATTTCAATTAACAAAATCATATTTTGTTTTGTGACTCTTCTCATTTAAGGGGCACCTTTGAGATCAGTTTCATTATTAAGCCTAACTCAATGATTTCCATGGTATATTCTTAGACGCTATGTGATTATGGAAGAGAAAAACATATTAACAAATGTTTGTTGCCACACATTGTTATGTTAATTGACAATAAAATAAGTACTAAGAGATATTTCTAGTTAAAAGTGTGGGGGTTTTGGTGGGGCTTATTCCGTAAAATAAAAAAAGGTTTAAAAGATGGTAGTTAAAAATGGCTGGGAGTGGTGGCTCATGCTTGTAATCCTAGCACTTTGGGAGGCCGAGGCAGGCAGATAACTTGAGGTCAGGAGTTCAAGGCCAGCCTGGCTGACATGTTGAAATCCCATCTCTACTAAAAATTGGCTAGGCGTGGCGGTGAGCGGCTGTAATCCCAGTTAGTCTAGAGGCTGAGGCAGAATTGCTTGAATCTGGGAGGCAGAGGTTGCAGTGAGCTGAGATTGCACCACTGCACTCTGGCCTGGGCGACAGACAGAGACTCTGTCTCAAGAAAAAAAATTAAAAAGTAAATAGAAAATAAGGAGGCTGAGGCAGGAGAATTGCCTGAACCCAGGAGGCGGAGGTTGCAGTGAGCCGAGATCGCGCCATTGCACTCCAGCCTGGGTAACAAGAGCGAAACTCCGTCTCAAAAAAAAAAAAAAAAAAAAGAAAAGAAAAGATAGTAGTTAAAAAGATAATACTTTAGGAAGTTACAGTGATAGATCTGAAGTTAATTTCTACTTAAGGAACTAGAACAGTGAAAAATAGATGTTTTCAGTTGAGTTGATACTATTCCATGTGGTCTTTGGTTTCAAACAGGTGTATTACCTGACTGCTTAACGGATGGCTCTGATGTGGTCAGTGACCTTGAACAGGAAGAGATGAAAATCCTGAGGGAAGTTCTTAGGTACCAATCTCTAATTATTTTTTAAATGAATCATTAGTAATATTGTATGATCTGTACATATGCTTTTGCCTGACAAATATAAAATTGCTGAATTCTCCACTGAAGCCCATCTAAATGATTTATCATTATATGACTGTGAATATATTTCTTAAAGATAAAAAAAGTTATTTTCAGTCCAAATGAGAGGGTCTTTTCACACTCCCATTATAGGAATAGGAAAGTAGCCACCAATGGGAAAAGTTGCAGTAGGCCCAGCCTGATCTCTGGAGAGGGGCAAAATGACTTGAGCTAAGCAGAAAATCCTGTGGCTTCTGGATCTCACAATGGAGGTGGCATATTCTAGGTGTCACATGGTAGGAGGCTGGGCATCTAGACTCCACAGTTTGAATAGCCAACTTGGTGATAGTAACCTGCAAAGGAGCAAGGACAGTGAGAGGCATCTATCCCAGATGAGTGTCTTGCCAGTCTCTTTGTCTTCCCAGTTATATGATTCTTAGCCAAATGCCTGGCAAGGAGTATGCAGACCAATAAGGGGGTCCACACAGAACTAATAAAGGTTAAGGGACATGCCTTTTTCTTTTGAGCCTGTTGTTCCCTGACCTTTATGGGAATTTTGGAAGGAAGGAGCAGTAGTAGCTCCTAATTTTTAAATCTCCTGTGAGAATATATTAGGTTTAGGGCAAAAGGATACTATAATCAAGGAGTCACCTGCAGACTATGGCGTTGGCCTTTGGGGTCACCACTTCTCCAACCATACTACCACACATGACCATTGTCTAGCATCCTGTAGTTCCCCCACTTAGGAACTTTGTCCCACCTCCAAAGCAGAAGAGAGGATAGGAGGATGGGCCTGGTGGGAAACTATGGCAGGAGCTCGGTACTTAATTTCAGGGGGTTTGAGTGATTATGGAGAGGGTGGCAGATATGCTCGTGAACTAAACCCTTTCTTGCCAGATCCTTCTTTGGATGGCAGGGGCAAATGGGAGCCTGAGATGACACAGAATGCTATGAGTTTAAGGTTTGAGAGGTAAGGGTTTTTGGTTCAAAGGACTGGTAAAGTTTTGATTTGGACTGGTTGTGTTGGTTGAATGGTGGCCTGAAAACTGGTCAGCACTGTATTTTTAGATTTTATTTTCTAAGAGATTTTGAGGGGATATACTACTGTGTAAGTAATAGAACTTAGTTGTGAACATGTATAACAGTTGAACTTGGGTAATTTTCAAAATCAGCATGTCTCAGTGAGCAGTTTACAAAAGTCGATAGGCTTTGGGACAGTGGTGTCATGAGTGCTTGATGTTAGCTCAGATGTCACCGGAACAATGGCATTTTATCAAGAGGGGCGTAATGGCTCTTATCAAGAGGGGTATAATTGATCTCTCTAAAGAGGATGATTGAAGTCCTTATTAATGAGATTTGCCATTCAAATTGGGTTTAGGATTTCAAATCTGTTGATCTTTGTTCATTTAGAGTTCTAGAAGAAATAGGTAGATGTGTATTTTATGTTACTAACTGTATTATGCTGTATGCCCATGTGTGTCTTTCCCAGTTGACTGTAAGCCACTTTAGAGCAAGGCTTGATTATCTTCCATCTTTGTGTCTAATATGCCTTGTATTATAAGCTTAGGTTAGCATGTTGCTTAGTTGAATATTTGTTCTTTGACCAAAAAAGGAAAATTACTTTTTACCTTTTTTGTGTGTATTTCAGAAAATCAAAAGAGGAATATGACCAGGAAGAAGAAAGGAAGAGGAAAAAACAGGTGCCTACAGAACATATAACAAAGTGTTTTATATTTGTGGCTGTTACCTCTTATTAAGTTTACACCTAGTTCTTACTATTAAAATTTATACTTCTGCGGAACTACATAATTCCTCAAAGCAGTCATTTTTTTGGCAAGTTTAAGCATTTGTATTTAACTTTTTATACTTTTTTCCCCTTTATTTTTGTCCTGGTAACTCACAGAACAACTTTTTTGTTTTTTCAGACTGACTCTTGCTCTGTTGCCCAGGCCAGAGTGCAGTGGAGCAATCTCAGCTCACTGCAGCCTCCGACTCCCAGGTTCAAGTGATTCTCCTGCCTCAGCTTCCCGAGTAGCTGGGATTACAGGTGCCCACCACCACACCCGGCTAATTTTTGTATTTTTAGTAGAGACAGGGTTTCACCATGTTGGTCAGGCTGGTCTTGAATTCCTGACCTCATGATTTGCCCACTTCAGCCTCCCAAAGTGCTGGGATTACAGGAGTGAGCCACTGTGCCCAGCCAGAATTTTCTATACTTTTTTTTTTTTTTTGTCACCTGGGCTGGAGTGCAGTGGCACAATCTTGGCTTACTGCAACCTCTGCCTCCTTGGTTCAAGAGATTCCCCTGCCTCAGCCTCCCAAGTAACTGAGATTACAAGCCTGTGCCACCACACTTGCCTAATTTTTTAAAATTTTTAGTAGGGATGGGGTTTCACCATGTTGGCCAGTCTGGTCTTGAACTCTAACCTCATGTCATTCACCCGCCTTGGCTTCCCAAAGTGCTGGGACTATAGGCATGAGCCACTGTGCCTTGCCAACTTTTTATACTTCTTAATATAGAAATTATATACTTTTTTTTTTGAGATTGAGTCTTGTTCTTTTGCTGAAACTGGAGTGTAGTGGTGAGATCTTGGCCCACTGCAACCTCTGCTTCCCCGGGTTCAAGCAATTCTCGTGCCTCAGCCTCTCAAGTAGCTGGGATTATAGGCACCTGCCACCACACCTGGCTAATTTTTGTGTTTTTTTTTTTTTTTTTTTTTTTTTTGAGACAGAGTTTCGCTCGTTACCCAGGCTGGAGTGCAATGGCGTGATCTCGGCTCACCGCAACCTCCGCCTCCTGGGTTCAAGCAATTCTCCTGCCTCAGCCTCCTGAGTAGCTGGGATTACAGGCACGTGCCACCGTGCCCAGCTAATTTTTTGTATTTTTAGTAGAGACGGGGTTTCACCATGTTGACCAGGATGGTCTCGATCTCTCGACCTCGTGATCCACCCGCCTCGGCCTCCCAAAGTGCTGGGATTACAGGCTTGAGCCACCGTGCCCGGCAATTTTTGTGTTTTTAATAGAGACAGGGTTTCACCATGTCAGCCAGGCTGGTCTCAAACTCCTGACCTCAAGTGATCCACTGGCCTTGGCCTCCCAAAATGCTGGGATTATAGGCATGAGTCACGGCACCTGGCCAAAAGTATATAATTTCCTGTAAGAGTGTATACTTTATACTTTCTTTTAAAGAGGCCAGACATGGCCAACCTGGCCAACATGGCAAAACCCCATCTCTACTAAAAATACAAAAATTAGCCAAGCGTGGTTGGTGCACACCTGTAATCCTATCTACTAAGGTGGCTCAGGCATGACAGTCGTTTGAATCCAGGAGTCGGAGGTTGCAGTGAGTGAGAGCACATGACTGCATTCCATTCTGGGTGATAGAGTGAGACTCTGTCTCAAAAAAAAATAAACAAAGAAAAAGAAATATATAATGTTTTTGGATCAAAGGTAGTGAATTCATTAAAATGAATCTAAATTGTATTTTATTTTTATTTTTTTACTGTATCATGGAATCCTGAAGTTATCAGAGGCTAAAACAGAAGAGCCCACAGTGCATTCCAGTGAAGCTGCAATAATGAATAATTCCCAAGGGGACAGTGAACATTTTGCAGCCCTACCCTCAGGTAAGGTTTATGAATACATAAACACCATATAGAATGTGCTCCTTTTGAAAGAAAAAAAATGTGCTTTCTCATACTTAATTTACTTCAAAAACCCTGGGAGGGAGTATTGAATGTCTTTGGTATTTAACGTTCTTTGTGAATTTGATTAAAGAGATTGCAGACGAGATACTGAGCTGAAAGAGAAAGTAGAGTCCCCAAATTTCCATGTAAAGCCTGGAACCCAGAGTAGAGAGCAGAACTCCTTGAGGGAATAACTAGCCTTTGTGCGTGGCTGCAGCTTACAAGACAGGTTCATATAACATTCCGTATTCTCGTCTATGCTCACAGTTACTTGGTATTTGTGAGTGAGAAGCTGAACTTGGAAAGATCATCTTTCTTTTCTAATGAATTAAGTACAGCTAGAAAATAAGAAGTAGCCATTTTGTCCCAATGTTTAGTCAGAAATTGTATCTTAAAACCAAAATTGGTAAGAATCCTCGTAGGAAATATTAGTGGATGACCTTTTCAACATGTAGTAAAATCTACTTTGAATATAAACTGATTTTCTATGTAAGAAAACAAGTAGTTCTGAAACAGATATTGTAGTCATGAATTCAGTTCATTTTATTATGTATTCCTATGGTTTTAAATAAATGTCCTTTTCTCAATTAAAAAAATATAACTCTGTGAGGTAGATACTGTGATCCTTGTTTTTCTTTTAGCTTTTTAAAAAAAATTTTTTTTGTTTAGTCGGGTATTACTGTGTTGCCCAGACTGGTCTCAAACTCCTGGCCTCAAGTGATCTTCCTGCCTCAGCCTCCTAAAGCACTGGGAATACAGGCATGAGCCACTGTACCCATCCCTTCTTTCTTTTTTTTTTTTTTAAGAAATTCAAGGAAGCTGAGAAACTTGTCTAACAAAGATCACTGAACTCTTCAGTGGTGGAGTTATGACTTACCTTGGTCTTCTGACACTAAATATGTTCTTCTATACCTTAGTTTAGAAGAACTTCTATAATTGAGATTAATGTGATGTTTACCCATTAATTTTTTATGTAAGTTGGAGAGCAATTTTCTTTTTTTAATATGCTTAATTGAAGCTGTTTTAGGTTCACAGTAAAATTAAGCAGACGGTACAGAGATTTCCCCCATATACTCTTTGCCCAGTACATGCTTAGCTGCTCCCATTATCAGCCCCCTCAAAAGTAGTACATATGTTACGTTGGTGAACGTACCTTGACACAACATTACCAGTGAACCAGAGAGCATAGTTTACATTAGGGTTCACTCTTGGTATTGTATATTCTGTGGGTTTTGACAAATGTATGATGATATGTATTCACCATTATGGTATTATGTAGTATGTAGTTTCACTGCCCTAAAAATTCTCTGTGCTCTGCCTGTTCATCCTTACCACCTCCTAACCCATGGCAACCACTGATCTTTTTACTGTTTCCATAGTTTTGCATTTTCTAGAATGCCATATAGTTGGAATCATACAGTAGTACATAGCCTTTTCAGATTGGCTTCTTTCACTTAGTATAATGCATTTAAGGTTTCTCTGTGCCTTGTCATGGCTTGGTAGCTCATTTCTTTTTAGCGCTGAATAATACTCCATTGTCTGGATGTGCCACAGTCTGTTTATTCACTTATCTGCTGAAGAACATCTTGGTTGCTTCCAATTTTTGACAGTTATGAATAAAGTTGCTATAAACATCCATGTGCAGGTTTTTGTGTGGACATAAGCTTTCGGTTCTTTTAGGTAAATACCAAGGAGCGTAATTGTTATGTCTTACAGTAAGAGTATGTTTAGTTTTGTAAGAAACTGCCAAACTGTCTTCCAAAGCAGCTGTACCATTTCCATCCCCATAGCAGTGAGTGAGAGCTCTTGGTGCATCCTTGCCAGCATTTGGCGTTGTCAGCGTTCTGGGTTTGGACTATTCTAGTTGGTGTGTAGTGGTATTTCATTGTTAGTTTATTTGCATTTCCCTGATGACATGAAGTGGAGCATCTTTTCATTGCTTGGTTGTCATCTATGTATCTTCTTTGGTGATATGTCTGTTAAGGTCTTTGGCCCATTATGTTTTTTGGGTTGTTTGCTTTCTTATTAATTGGGTTCATTTTCTTATTGTTGAATTTTAAGTGTTCTTTGTATATTTTGAATAACAGTCCTTTTTCAGATGTGTCTGCTGAAAATATTTTCTCCCAGTCTATGGCTTGTCTTCTCATCCTCTTGATACTGTCTTTTACATAGCAGAAATTTTAATAAAGTTCAGCTTATTAATTATTTCATAGGCTGTGCCTTTGGTGTTGTATCTAAAAAGTCGTCATCATACCTAAGGTCATCTAAATTTCCTCCGAAGTTATATTCTAGGATTCTTACAGTTTTACACTTTACATTTAGGTCTGTGATCTATTTTCATTTTTTTTGTGTGTGTGAAGGGTGTAAAGTTTGTGTTTAGATTCATCTTTTTTCTTTTGGATGTCCAGTTCCAGTTTTGTTTCCTCATTGTATTGCCTTTGCTCCTTGGTCAAACATCATTTGATTATATTTATGTAAGTTTATTTCTGGGCTCTCTATTATGTTTCATTGAACTATTTCTCCATTCTTTTGCATATACCATACTGTCTTGATTACTGTAGTTTGAAGTATTCAAGTTGGGTAGTGTCAGTCCTCGTTCTTCAGTATTGTGTTGGCTATTCTGAGTCTTTTGCCTCTCTATATAAATGTTAGAATCACTTTGTCAATATCCACAAAATAACTTGGAATTTTTGATTTATATTATATGGAATCTATAGATCATGTTGGGAAGAACTGACATCTTGACATTATTGAGTCTTCCTGTCCATAAACCTGGAATAGGTCAGGCATGGTGGCTCGTGCCTGTAATCCCAGCATTTTGGGAGGCCAAGGCAGGAAGACTACTTGATCTCAGGAGTTCAATACCAGCCTGGGCAATTTGGCAAAACCCTGTCTCTACAAAAAATACAAAAATTAGCTGGGCATGGTGGTTTGTGCTTGTAGTCCCAGCTACTAGGGAGGCTGAGGCAAGAGAATTGCTTGAGCCCAGGAGGTGGAGGTTGCAGTTTGAGTAAAGATTGCATCATTGCACTACAGCCTGGGTGACAGAGTGAGACCCTGTCTCAAACAAAAAGTTAAAATAAAAAAACAACAAACCATGGAATATCTCTCCATTTGTTTAGTTCTTTCTTTCTAGAATTTTATAGTTTTCCTCATATAGATCTTGTGCATATTTTGCTATTTTTATATCTAAGTATTTCATTTTTTAGGGGTGTTGTGCTAAAGTAAATGATATTGTATTTTTAATTTCAAATTCCATTTATTCATTACTAGTATAAAGGAAAGTGAACAATTTCTGTATATGAATCTTATATCCTGTAATCTTGCCATATAGTTGTTCTTTTCAGTTTTTCTATCAATTCTTTTGTGTTTTCTATGTAGATGAACATGTTCTGTGTTCTGCAAATAAAGACATTTTTATTTATTCCTTCCCAATCAATGTACTTTTTATTTCCTTTTCTTGTCCTACTGGATTTTTTTTTTTTTTTTTTTTTAACGGAGTCTTGCTCTGTTACCAGGCTTGGAGTGCAGTGGTGTGATGTTGGCTCACCACAACCTCTGCCTCCTGGGTTCAAGTGATTCTTCTGCCTCAGACTCCCTAGTAGCTGGGACTACAGTCATGTGCCACCATGCCCAGCTAATTTTTTGTATTTTTAGTAGAGACAGGGTGTCACCATGTTGTCCAGTATGGTCTCAATATCTTAACCTCATGATCCGCCTGCCTCGGCCTCCCAAAGTGCTGGGATTACAGGTGTGAGCCACCATGCCCAGCTGTCTTATAGGACTTCTAGTATGATGTTGAATCAGAAAGGTGAGAGGGGACATTCTTGCCTTGTTTCTGATTTGTGAGAAACCTTCTAGTTTCTCACCGTTAAATATTGTGTTAAGTTTTAGAGTTTTTTTTTAGATACTCTTTATGAAGTTGAGGAAGTTCCCCTCTATTGCTAGTTTACTGAGCAGTTAGAGTCTTACTTGACAAAACAGGAGGATAGCGAACTAAAAGCGAATTTGTGAAGTTACCTTGCTTCTTTCTTTGTATCACGTCAAACCATTTCTTCATATATATATATACACACTCACACACACACAGATACATTCTGATACATTCTGCAGATTTTAAGTTGAAATAGCCTCATTTGAATTATACCTATGAAAGCTCCCGCTTTAGGTTTGTCTGTGCTCCATTTTAATTTGCTGACCCAAATTAACTTTGTTTTATATATGCCTAAGTACTTATACTGTTTAAATCTTGTGTCTAACATAATTTGAATACATTTGCTTTGTCTGCTTTCTTATCTGATTAAGTGAAGCTATAGAAAACTTGACCTCTGCTAGTCCGAGTGCAGTGGTGTTTACAACTAATTTATCACAACCAGTTACAGATTTTTTTGTTCCTTCTCCACTCCCACTGTTTGACTTGACTAGCCTTTTACAAAAAATAAAAAATAAATAAAAATAAAAAAAAGAAAACTTGATCTCAAACCATATGTAATTCAGTTTACACATTAATGGCACAACACAAATGGTAGATAATTTCAAAAGTAATGATTTTAATTAAAAAAATTTTTTTTACTGAGCATATCTGATATTTCAGAGAATCACTTCATACCAAGTGATGGAAGCCCATTATGAAGACCTAAGTGTGGAAGAATCATGAAGTTGTTTGACCTCTTGTCTTGTCCTTTTGCCTGTCTTTCCCTCATTCCTGCTAGCAATGGATAGTATCTTTTCTTAGATTGATGCAGAGTTGCCAGATATGAGATGATCTTTAGGTTTTCTGGCTTTCTGATCTTTCCTTCCTAGAAATTAGAGAAGCCAAGTATTTTGGCTTCAAGTACTTTCTTCTCTAGGTTTGAGAATATATGTATGTTCATAATTAACAAACCCAAGGCAAGAACTGTCCAGAGAGAGAACATGAGTGGAATATAAATGCTTATATGTATGGGTTCCCCCCTCCTCAGGAATGATTTGAACTGTCCTTTCTCCAGCTCTGTGAGTCCATTGAGGGCTAAGCCTACCTCTGCTAAAGTCACTATCAGTAACAACAGTGGTGTTTTAACTCTATTTCTGTTAGTTCTGTAGCTCCCTGTCTAGGTTGGTTTGGAGTGCTGGTTCCAGCTTATCTCTTCCATGGAGATTTCCCTTATTGTCCAAGGGCCTGTAGAGCTTTTCTTCCTCCAGCCTCTCTGGCACTATAGTCAGTCCAGTCACTGCTAGAGCAGTGGTCTGTTGTCAAGTTTCTTGCACGGACAAAATTCTGTTTTCTCTTAGTATGTTTGCCGGCAAGGTTTCTTTCTTTTTTAACTATAAGGATCAACCAGGTGTGGCAAAAATTTTTATCATTAGAGACATGTGTGCCATGTTTTCCTATCATGCTTTTAAATCTTAGCATCATTTTAATGTAAGTCGTTGCTTGTCTCAATGTGCTTTCTTTCATAGCCCACATATTTACACTGAAAAGGTTTTATCTGTTTAAAAACAATCACCTTATAATAAAATTTGGCTCAGAGGAGCAATGAGAATGTTAACCCTCTCTCTTGATTGGCAGTTACCAAATGGCTGGAAAGCATTTCATGCTCATGTTTATATGTACTTCCAAGTTCTACTTGCTTTAGAAATCTTTACATTTTCACAATGCATTGGCAGGTTTATAGTTACCTTCAATTTATAATTATAAACAAAAATTGATATTGGTGACATTTATTCTTACAGTACAAAAAATGACAGCTTTACATTAGTTGTTCTGAAAATATAGGGTGACTTTTTACTTGCAAGCAAAAGTTTGGAAACCAATTACATTGTTAGTATGGGATTAGTGTACTGTCTATTTGGCTTATGTGGCAATCTTGTATTATAGTATAGTTCTAATCTTTAGACAAGGATTTTACCTTTTTGTAGCTGTAATACTGTACAAACAGCAAGAGCATGGTACTTATTGAGATACGGGTGAGAAACTGTAGTCCCACGTTCCTTAAGGATAGGGATGATGTTGATTGTTCTTGCCCAGTGGCTGGCACAATATAGACACTGAATATATGTTGACTGAGTAAATATGAGGAAAAACAAGTATTACTAATGTTAGCTCATTTTGGTAAATCTAGCCTAATACTTAATATTTCTCATAATATTCTAATTGGTCTTATTTTCTACTTACTGCCAGAAGTTAAGGTGCATTTTGCTAATCAGTCAGTAGAACCTTTGGGAAGAAAGGTGGAAATGTCTGAAACGTCCTCCCTCCGTCAAAAGGACCTAAAGATTCCTGGCTTAGAGCATGCAAGCATTGAAGGACCAATAGCAGTAAGTAAAAGACATCATTTTTAAGAACTATAAGCAAAGTGACAAGGTACTGGGAAATCAGACATTGAATTGAATCAGTCAGTGGGCATCTGTGCTACTTACTAAATGGACTTGAATTTAGATAGTACCTTTTCTTATTTGACCCAGAATTTATCAGCACTTGGAACAGAAGAACTTCGGCAACGAGAACACTATCTCAAGCAGAAGAGAGATAAGTTGATGTCCATGAGAAAGGATACGAGGACTAAGCAGTTACAAAATACGGAGCAGAAAGGAAAACCCACTGGGGAGGTAGAGGTATGGCTAGCCTTAGTATGTCAAGATTTGCAAATCTGGTAGTAGAACTCTCAAAATCAGACTATGTGCAAGACAGCGTCTTAATAAATTTTGCTTGCAGACTCATTCATATTAACTACCTCCTAGTGTGGTAGCTGCTAAGTCTTTTGTAGGAAGTGAAATTGTTGTGATACAGATTTTATAAGGCAGAAAATAACAGTGGTGTCATGGTACATTTTTTTTTCTTATGCTGTTTCTTTACTTGCTCTGCTCTGAATATGTAAGGGTCAGCGGTCTGTTTTACCTGAGCATGCTGAGATGTCTTCTCAAAGAGCAGCATCAGTACCCCAGCCACCATCTCCAACAGGGCTTCTCCAAGAAGAGACTTTACGAGGAAGAGATTTAGGAAACCTAGTCTACTTCTATCTCTTCTTCCGCCCCTAAAAAAATGCCTCTAACCTTGGTTCATTTGAGGCAGTATATTGGGAATTTTAGACAAATGACCCTGTTCATGGTGTAGCCAACTTTTTTTTTCTTTTTTTTTTCAGGAAATGACAGAGAAGCCAGAAATGACAGCAGAGGAGAAGCAAACATTATTAAAGAGGAAATTGCTTGCAGAGAAACTCAAAGAAGAAGTTATTAATAAGTAATCATTAAAAAGTTTAACAAAATGGAAGTTCAAATTGTCTTAAAAATAAATTTAGTCCTTCCACCGAGACTTTTAGTTTCAAACACTTTTATAAATGCAAGTATCTTATTATTTTAAACACTTTAGGTAAAGGACAGTAGGGAAGGCAGCTACTCATACTGATTAGTTTAATACAGATTCCTGGGTGTTTTCCCTTGGAAAGAGAGTATAGAAATAAACTAGTTTGATAGTTCATTCATTCGGATTCGATTACCTACTGTTTGAGCCAGGCATTGTTCTAAATGCTAAGGATACAGCAGTCAACTGGATTGACAGGGTCACTGCTTTCATGAGGCTAGTAGAGAAGGCCCAAAGACCAAAGTATTGGAAAGGCAGAGGGTAGAGTGCTATGCGCAGGGCTAACTAAGCCTCTTTAAGCTGAATGGAAGGGCTAACTAAGCCTCTTTAAGCTGAATGGAAGGTTAATTACACAAAGAATAGGTAAAGAATAACTCAGGTTCTGCAGCAGGAAATAAAGCACATGCTGAATAACTGGAGAGGGTTAGCATATGAGATTGGAGATGGGTGGTGTACTGATAGTAGTGCAGGGTCTTGTAGGAAATGTGAGGATTTAAATTTTTTGTAAGAGACAGGATCTTGCTCTGCTGCCCAGGCTGGAGTGCGGTAGCACAGTTAAAGCTCTAGATTTTAAATGTTGTAATACCAGCAGTGTCAAATCACTGAAAAATTTTAATACAGGGGCCAGGCACAGTGGCTGACACTGTAATCCCAGACCTTTGGCAGGCCAAGGTGGACAGACTACTTGAGCCCAGGAGTTTGAGACCAGCCTGGGCAACATGGTGAAACCCTGTCTCTACTAAAAATACAAAAAAATTAGTCAGACATGGTGGCACACACCTCTAGTCCCAGCTACCTGTGAGGCTGAGGTGGTAGGATCACTAGAGCTCTGGAGGTCAAGGCTGCAGTGAGCCGTGATCACAGTACTGCACTTCAGCCTGAATGACACAGTGAGACCCTGTCTCAAAAAAAAAAATTAAAGCAGTAAGTTACATGATCAAAATTTTCATTTTTACTGCTTTATGGCGACTAGTGCATGAGGTAGAATAGTTGTGCTTGTATCACATCTGAGACAGTCAAGAGTAGATTTTATATTTATCATTTATTCTTATATTTAAGGCAAGAGCAAAAAGGACTTGGAAAATAGATGTACAGGATGTAAAAAATACTCAATTACTCACACTTTCTGGACAAACTATTCCTAAAAAACTGGCAAAAGGAGTAACTGAGCCTGTTGAAGGAAATGCCACCACTGGGTGTTGGTGTTTTTTTGTAAGAAGTGACCCGAGGATAGTTTTCTGTAGTCTATTTGTTTAAAGATAAACCACAGTAATAGGAGAAGTTTCTTTCAGAAACTTGTAGGCCGGGTGTGGTGGCTCATGCCTGTAATCCTAGCACTTTGGGAGGCTGATGCAGGTGGATCACCTGAGGTCAGGAGTTTGAGACCAGCCTGGCTAACATGGTGAAACCCTGTCTCTACTAAAAATACAAAAGTTAGCTGGGTGTGGTGGCGGGCATTTATAATCCCAGCTACTTGGAAGGCAGCAGCAGGAGAATCACTTGAACTGGGAGGCGGAGGATGCAGCCATCCAAGATCGTACCACTGCATTCCAGCCTGGGCAATAGAGCCAGATTCCATCTCAAAAAAAAAAAAAAAAAAAAAAAACACAGGTGAAATGACTCACACCTGTAATCTCAGCACTTTGGGAGGCCGAGGTGTGGGCAGATAACTTGAGATCAGAAGCTCAAGACCAGCCTGGCCAGCATGGTGAAACCCCATCTCTACTAAAATACAAAAATTAGCTGGGCGTGGTGGTGTGTGCCTGTAATCCCAACTATCTGGGAGGCTGAGGCAGGAGACTTGCTTGAACCTGGGAGGCAGAGGTTGCAGTGAGCCAGGATTGCACCACTGTACTCCAGCCTGGGCCACAGAGAAAGGGTCCATCTCCAAAAAAGAAAAAGAAAAAGAAACTTCCAGTCTTGTAACATCCCACATCCACCATTTCCTAAGTACAGGATACTCCCAAGATTTAACTTAAAATCACGATCTATCTCCTTAAATCTATACTTACAAACTTTTAAAAAGGGATATCAAAATTAGTTTAACAAGATTTGCTCATTTCAGTCATATAATTCCAACCTTTAACCTGCAGAAAAACCAGTATTCTACATTTGTTATATTTTCATCATTAGATGGATAAGAGGAAATGCTAGTGATTAAAACACAGAAATGATTCATTTAACTTTTTATTAAAAATAATTTTTATATTGGATACATGTTTACAGATACCATTTTAAGAGGACCTAAGGCATACAAATGTGGGCTTTTGCCTTGCTTCACTGAGTGAAGATAATATAAAAATCCAGATCTGTCTGAGGGTAGTCATTTAAAGACAGCTGCTAATGTGGAATTCTCACAACTGTTCAAGGGGTATTTTAAGCCTTGTTCTTGTCGTAGGTAAGCACTTGGAACATGAAAACTGTTATCTGTATTTCAAGAAACCGTTCACATTTCTTCTACAAGAAAAGGTTCTGATGATGATTTAAATGTTTAAGACTTACGGCAGCTCTTCAGGAAGAAAAAACAAAGGAAGTCTGCATAAGATACAAAGATAGTACTTCCTACTAGGACTTAAAAGTTGAGGTGTCAAGAGTAACGAGGAGGACTAGACGCAATGGCTCACACCTGTAATCCCAGCACTTTGGGAGGCTGAGGCAGACAAATCACTTCAGGTCAGGAGTTCAAGACCAGCCTGGCCAACATGACAGAACCCTGTCTCTACTAAAAATTAGATGGGCATGGTGATGGGCACCTGTACTCCCAGCTACTTGGGAGGCTGAGGCAGGAGAATTGCTTGAACCCAGAGGTGGAAATTGCTGTGGGCCAAGACTGTACTGCTGCACTCCAGCCTGGGCAACAGAGTGAGCCTCAAAAAAATTTTTTTTAAAAGAGTAACTAGGAAAGTGCTTTACAGGTGGGCTTATTATAAGAAGAAATTTAATAAAAGCTGAGAGACAGGTCTTGATAAAACTTGCTTCAAAGAAAGTGGATGGCAATTTTACTGATCTTGGTTTAAAATAGCCTGAGTCACCTGCCTTATGAGGTGAAAGGTCTTTCTTATTATATGTATACCTTTAATCAAAGAGGTGAGAAAAGCTCCATACTGTGATGCTTTGATTTCCCCAAGGCTTACCTTCTGTAAGAAGTGATATTTAAAGTGCCGCTGACCCACATTTGTTTAGAATTATTTCATTAAAATTGGTGTATGAGCTAGCAGTTTATATTTATGGATAATTTTATTGGCTTTTAAAAGATACTGTAAAATTGACATATCTCAAAATGGAGTTAATTTATATTTACAACAAACCAAACACAAACATCAATTGTGGAATTACAGGGTCACATTTTAATTCCTGAATTTTACAGTTTAGCATTAATATCACCACATGTATACAAATGGTGTAAAACAAGTACAGTGGTATTTTTAATACAAAATAAACATCTGTTTTATGGAAAAAACTATACTTCATATCTACACAGACAGCTCATCTTTTCCAAACAATAGCCAAAATTAAAATTAACTACAAAATCTCCAAAACAGGGGAAACTGCTTTAGTTTAAGCTATTCCAGGAAAAATGGACCCATAACACATTACAAGGGTGATCTAAAGATTGTGGCTGGAATTACTATTAAAATTTTTTTTCCCAATGCATTAAATTGTATTTTGGGGACATTTTTCTCACTTCGGCATGATCTCAGATCATAGATGAGCAAACTAACATTAAAATATTTACAGTTAACTTGCTGCTCTAAAAATAAAACTTCTTAACGGTTTGCCTCGATTTATTTTTAAAATTCATTTAGATACATGGAATGTGCTTTTATTTTTTTTTAAAAAGCAGCTTTCATATCACACCCTTGTTTATGGAGAAGCTTCATGTGCTGCATGCTGACTTTGACACTTAAGTAGCTGCTTGGATCAAAATGGCTTCTAGATATTAAATGCCAATTAATTCAGCACTATTCTTTGTTGGTCTGTATAAACAACACTTTAAAAGTTGCTGTAGCTCTGGAAAGAGAGACAACCTTACTAACAAAGCAGAAAGTGATTTCAAAGTATCTTCCCCAAAAGATTGTACTGGTCGGCAGTTGAAAACATTCTGTTTTATCCACTCTCAAATTTCTAGAGAAGATCATTTTCTTTAAAATTATCTTTAAAAAACTGTCCATTTTGAATCCAGCTTGTTTTCATCAACATATGTACAGAAAATTCCTGCTGTGACTCAACATGTGCCGAATACAGGGTGTACTTCCCTTCAACTACCTAAAAGGCTGAGTTTTTGTTAAATCTTCAAATAAATGGTCCCAAAATTTTTTAAATGATAATTGAATGTGTTTTCCATAAAAATTTCTTTTAAAAAGAGGCAACCCTAAAATAACATGGCCAGCACCATTATAACATTATGTTATTGAGTTTACAACTGAAGTTCTGTAATTGTTTCTAGATTGATACCCCAAAGAGCAACCCTGCATTATTATATCAACCTTTTTCCCTCCCCTAAACTCTCCCCAAACCTGTGACTTTTCCTTGCTGAGAAGCTATCTTCCAGGTTCTGGTTACTAACTTTGTTTTGACAGCATAAAAGGCAAATCCCTTAATTACTAGCAAGCAATCAAGTTCCTGGGAAGCCTGTTTTCTTAATAGAACTAAACTCTCTTAGCTGATATACTGAGTGTCTTTTGCTACTCCTTGTATATTTTTATAAGGTCAAGTGAGAGAGCTTTCTGATTTTCAGATTTTCAGCTCATTGAACAGTTGCAGCATTTTAAGACCACATGTTGAGGGTCCCCAAATACTTTATGAGCCAAGACGAGGTCTTTTCCTGGGGGATGTTTCTTCTTCTTCATCTTCCTCTTCATCATCTGGATAATCCACTAAACCAACCAAACTTCCCTATTGAAGAATTAAAAAAATTTTCTTTAAACATATGTAACAAAAAAGAATCTTTAGGACAAATACAGTCACTTGTAAGGATATCAGAAACTGTTTTCCTATATCATATAAGAAATTAACACATTTGAATTGTATAAAGGAACCGCTTGAAATTAAGAACGTTTGAGTACTAATTCGTAGCATTTGCAGTAACCCTTAATTTTTCTATCTAGTTCTGGATTATTAATGATATTTCAAAACTCAGTTCTGCAAAATTTTACTGTGGAAAAATGACTGCTTTTCCAAAGAGTAGGGTTAACAACCATAGCATTTGGAAGCTGGAAAGGACATTGGAGATGAACTAGTGTATTTCCCTAATTTTATTGCCATAAGAAATCTTGCAGTTTTTGTTCATCATGTGTATATTTCATCATTAGGTACACATTATTGTTTTCATTGTGCTTCTGAAGACCAGCTTAAATGGCTGAAAACACATGAAATGATTCCTATAAAATAGTGAAACATTTAGGGCTAGCTCTCTGACCAAAAGAAAAATAAGGATGAGTAATTCGTGGTTTTGGCCTTTGACATGTAACAGAACCCTGTGAAAATCCTAGATAAACTCTGGGCACACTCCAGAAAATTACATGTTCACAGGGTTTCATTCATTTTGAGCCAATCCCATAAAAACTTACACACATGTCCTACAGGTTAAGAAAGCTACTGTAACACTGAATTTAGTTCAAACCCTTCAGACCTCTAGGGGATAGGCAAATACAATTGAAGTAACTCATACTTCATACCTAAAGCACTGAGGTATCTACCTAAAGTACTGAGGTATCTGTTTTTTTCCAGAATGTAACCAAATCCCATTAATATTAGCCAACCAAGAAAAAAGACCTCTGGGCAGCTAGAAACAGTTATCAGAAAGACATATACCTGTCTGAGAATGTTTCTCAATCACACATACATCTTAAGTCTAGATGTGCAAGGGGCAATATGGCTAAATTGTTAAAAATATGCTGACTGTAGGTTTAATGTCAAATTCTAATGACACCACATTTTATATTTTTTAAAAAAACAAAAAAACAACTTGTCTGGGCACAGTGGCTCACTTAATCCCAGCACTTTGGGAGGCCAAGGTGGGAGGATCACGAGGTAAGGAGATCAAGACCATCCTGGCTAACAAAGTGAAACCCATCTCTACTAAAAATGCAAAAAATTAGCTTGGTGTGGTGGCACGCACCTGTAGTCCCAGCTACTCAGAAGGCTGAGGCAGGAGAATCCCTTGAACATGGGAGGTAGAGGTTGCAGTGAGCCAAGATTGGGCAACAGAGTGAGACTGTCACAAAACAAAACACAAAACAAAACAAAACAAACAAAACAAAACAAAACAAAACAAAACAAAACAAAACAAAAAACAAAACAAAACAAAACAACAAAACAAAACAAAACAAAACAAACAAAACCTTTGGGGCTAGGCGCCATGGCTCACACCTGTAATCCCAGCACTTTGGGAGGCCAAGGTGGGCGGATCACCTGAGATCACGAGTTTGAAACCAGCCTGGCCAACATGGCAAAACCCCATCTCTACTAAAAATACAAAAATTAGCTGGGTATGGTGGCGGGCACCTGTAGTCCCAGCTACTCAGGAGGCTGAAGCATGAGAATCTCTTGAACCTGGGAGGCGGAGGTTGGAGCGAGATTGTGCCACTGCACTCCAGCCTGAGTGACAGAGCAAGACTCCATCTCAAAAAAAAACCAAAAAACAAAAAACAAAAAACTTTGGGCAAGTGGTTTAATATCTCTGTCTCAGTTTCTTCATTTGCAAAATTGGTATAGTAGTATTTAGGTCCCAATGGACTATTTTGAAAATAAATTGCTGGCCAGGCACTGTGGCTCACGCCTATAATCCCAGCACCTTGGGAAGTCAAGGCAGGTGGATCACCTGAAGTCAGGAGTTTAAGTCCAGCTTGACCAACATAGAGAAACCCTGTCTCTACTAAAAATACAAAATTTATCTGGGCATGGTGGCACATGCCTCTAATCCCAGCTACTCTGGAGGCTGAGGCAGGAGAATTGCTTGCACCCAGGAGGTGGAGGTTGCAGTGAGCCAAGATTGTGCCACTGCACTCCAGCCTGGGCAACAAGAGCAAAACTCTGTCTCGAAAAAAAAAAAAAAATTAAATTGATGACAAAACATTTAAAGTTCTTCAGCACAGTACTTGGTACACAGTTATTCAGTAAGTGCTATTAGTTGCTATTACTACTATCATTTTTCTGCCATTTGGTTTCTAAGCCAAACAAATTGGAAGAGAGGGGAAAAAGAAATAATTCTGGTATAAAAAGGCACCAATCTGATATTCAAAAAGATGACAGCAAAGTTACAAAGTTTTCGTTATACTTAGTATTACATACTATACATAATGTTCAAACATTTGGATTCCAAACGGTCAACACTTAATTGTTTTTGCCTAAGATTAATAAATTGTCTGAAAAGCTCAGTTACACAATTTGAGTTTTACTTACATTATCTCTGCATATATACACCATAAGCAAACTAGTATACATTTAAAACCTGTTTGCAAGAAAAATAATAAAAATGCAAAATGGGAAATGTTGGACGTAAAAAGGCCTGTAATCTAGAGATGCACTTTGTGCATTTTGACTCAAAATGAATGAAACCCTGTGGACGTGTAATTTTCTAGGGAGTGCCCAGAGTTTTTCTAGGATTTTCACAGGGGTCTGTTACTTGTCAAAGGCCAAAACCACAAATTTCATCCTTATGTTACCTCATCCTTTTTAAGTTCCATTTCATTGTTTTAAACCCCTCCATTCCATGGTATGAATATATCATCATATGATTTTTTTTTTTTTTTTTGAGACAGAGTCTCATTCTGTCGCCTGGGCTGAAGTGCAGTTGTGTGAACTTGGTTCACTGCAACCTCCGCCTCCAGGGTGCAAGCAATTCTTGTGCCTCAGCCACCCCAGTAGCTGGGACTACATGCATACGCCACCATGCCTGTTTAATTTTTGTATTTTTTAGTAGAGATGGGGTTTGGCCAAGCTGGCCTTGAACTCTTGGACTCAAGTGATCCGCCCACCTCAGCCTCTCAAAGTGTTGCGATTACAGGTGTGAGCCACATGCTCAGCTTCATCATATACTTTAATTCCTGAATTCCTGGTTGGACATTTGGGTTGTTTTTGCTGGGTATTTAAGTAAGAAATTTAAAAAGTAGATACCAGCAAAGAAAACAGGAGAAGAGAAAATAGCAGTTGAGAGTTGCCAAGGCATTTTTGGAAAAGAGAAATCAGAGGCAAGGCAACTCATATAATACGAAGAAGCCAAGAACTAAGTATTTGCAGAGGGATACAGAAACAAGAAACTCATTTGTCTTACAAGAAATCAAAGAAGCTAGACAGTAAAGGGATCAAAATACTGGGGAAAGCAGGTAAAACAGTTAAATTATAGTAAAACAGACAACTGGGTCATTGATTCTACACCTCTGACAGCCAGGAGATTCCCGTTCCTCTACCATCACCAACTGTAGAGAACTCTACAAGAGAAAATGACTCTATAAAGAATGAACTCTATAGAGAATGTAATTAACTTTACAGAGAAACGGACTATATACTTCATGACTTTAGGCACAGTAAAGGGCATGGTAAGGCCAGGCTGAAAATGGAAGAATAAATATAAATTTTGTATACTGAGCAGACATGCCCACCCCCACAATCCCACAATAAGCTTTGTTATGTTGGCTCTCAGAACACTACCAACCACACTCATACTCACCAGGTATAAGAAACTAGCTTGGTCTGTAAAAATTAGATGGCTTCACACTGCGGGGAATGAGAGAAACTACAAACAACTAACACTTCCTGAAAAAAGCAGGGTACTACTCTAAGTCCATACCATAAAGTCAACTTTTTAAAGTGTACAATTTTCAGACACCGTAATTCACACACCAAAAGTGTATAATTCAGTGGTTTTAGTATATTCACAAAAGTTGTATAATCACCACTAATTTCAGAGCATTTTCATCATTTCACCCACAATAAAAGTCCCATAAACAGTCCTCATTCCCCCACCGCAACCCACACCACCCAGCTCTTGGCAACCACTAATCTACTCTGTTTCCATGGATTTATTCTGGACAGTTCATATCAATGGAATTATCCAATATTCGGCCTTTTGTGACTCGTTTACTTCAGTTACCACAGTGTTTTCAGTTAATCTATGCTTAGCATATCAGGACTTCATTCTTTTTTTATGGCCAATTAATATCCACTGTATGAATATGCCACATTTTGTTTATCCATTCATCAGCTGATAGACATTTGGGTTATTCCCACATTTTGGCTATTACAAACAATATTGCTATTAACATTCATATACAAGTTTTACAGTGGACATGTTTTTGGTTTTCTTAAATATATACCTAGGAAATGAGATAGCTGGGTCATATGGTAACTCCGGGTCATATGGTACTCTGACTTTTTGTAGAACCACCAGACTGTATTCCAAAGCTGCTATACCATTTTATTTATTTTTTGAGACACGGTCTCACTCTGTTGCCCAGGCTGGAGTGCAGTGATGTGATTTTGGCACACTGCAACCTCTGCCTGCTGGGCTCAAATGATCCTCCCACCTCAGCCTCCCGAACAGCTGGGACCACAGGCATGTGCCACCATGTTCAGCTAATTTTTGTAGAGATGGGGTTTTGCCATGTTGCCCAGGCCAGTCTTCAGCTCTTGGGTTCAAGCAATCCTCCTGCCTTGGCCTTCCAAAGTGCTGGAATTACAGGCATGAGCCTTTGCACCCAGCCTGCGCCTTTGCACCCGGCCTGCTGTGCCATTTTATATCCTTACTAGCAATGGATGTCACAATTTATATTCTTGCCAACACTTGTTTGGTGCATCTTTTTTATTATAGCTATCCTAGTGGATGTGAAATGCTATCATATTGTGGTTTTGATTTGCATTTCCCTTACTAATAATGCTTAACATCTTTCTACGTG